AATCATCGTCGTAACATCCAGAATAACATCCGGAATGTAGAATTATTCTTAAAGAGTCGGCATTAAAATAGAACGTGTGTCTTACATATATATGTATACAACATTTGTATATCCATTGCATGAAAAATAAAATTCTCCGACAGTTTAGAAAATTATTTCAATTCGCACATATTTACTCGAAGTGCACAGTGTTTTACTTGAAATAAACTGGTGTATTGCAATCTTCTAAAGCACTAGAAAGAAAAAAAATATTACAGGAAAGATTGCCACAATCTAAAAACAAAAGATTTAATCGTACAATAATTTTGAAAAGAAAAAAAGAAAAAGAAAAATATTTCTTCTCTGTAGCATTCTTTCTAAAGCGTCCATTAATTTAGAGTCGAATGAATCAATATTGTTCGAAATAGTTTAATACTAATCAATTACGTTACAATCAACGATATGATTGCGATATCTGTGTTACTATTGTGATATAATCTTTAGATTTGAACTGCATTCTGCTCATAAATATTTTGTAAAGAATGTACTTGCTTTCAATTATCCGCACGTATTTACATAGCAAAAAAACACACTATTCGCTCCCTTGCATTGCGAACAAACGTTTGGCCGTCTTTTGAAATCGCTAGAGATTTAAGAAAAGTTGCACACATAGGCGCAGGCAATATCGCGATATCAAGAAGACTGATCACAAACTCACTGTGCTTATAGCTTTTTGCTATACATAATATATTAAATTTGCTAAATATAACTCTGTTTGTCGTCACACATGAATGTGAAAAGAAACGATACAAACAGATTTATGAGCTATGTTCCTTTCGTCCCCTAATTTGCATTAAAAAGCTAATAGTTTGCGCGCAATAGGTCGCAGCACTATAAACGGTTCGGTAATTGACCGAGATCAACCATTTCGGTATCCTCTATGGTATTAGGTCCCATCATATGTTGCCTGTGTTGTTGTTGAAGGTCTAACGATGGGCGCAAATGAACATCCATCGTTTTAGGTGAGGAGAAACCATGTAGACTCGCCGCCGCACCAAAACCTGTATTGTTTAATAGTCCTCTACGCGGGCTTCTAGCGTTGACAACTCTTGGCTGTGCATACATTTCCTCCAGGACACTCGGCGCTACGTACGTGAAACCCTGAAATATCATGTTTGCAGATTCACTGAGAGTACTCTCAACCGGTGAATCGACCGGCACAGTCGCCGTAAATTGCTCGTCGAATTGAGACGTGTCGTCGGCACTCTTTAGGGACGGCTTGAATGGTGGGTCCAACTTCCGAGCAATCACGTCCTGCCAATTTATGTGCTTGAAAAAATTGTGGTTTTTAATTTGTTCAGCGTCCTCCGGACCTGAACCCAATCTTTGAACAACTTGTCTCTTTAAGAGTTTTCGAATGAGATCTCGGGCATCTGGCGTCAGATATTGTGGAAGACTTAGCTTTCCGCGTAAGATTTTTTCGATAGTTTTTCTTCGATCGTCTCCGGTGAACGGTGGCATTCCTGTAAGCATGTCGAACATCAAAGCGCCTAAACTCCACCAATCTACAGCTTTACCATGACCGCTCCTAGTTAGAATCTCTGGAGCCATGTATTCTATCGTTCCACAGAATGTATGTGTCACTGTGCCTTCTTGTATGTGTTCTTTGCAAAGGCCAAAATCTGTTAATTTAACATGGCCCTCGGCATCCAGCAAGATGTTCTCTGGCTTCAAATCCCTATATATTATTCCCTGATTGTGAAGATGTTGCAGGGCCAGTATAATTTCCGACAGATAAAAGCAAGCTGTATCCTCTAAGAAGATACCTTCACGATCAAGATATGTGAAAAGCTCTCCACCACATAGATACTCCAAGATAAGGTATAATTTACCACCAGTTTGAAAGGCATACATGAGATTTACGATAAATGGATGTTTTACAGCCTCCAAGATATTCCTCTCGGCCTTGGTATGCGCGGTATCTTTCTGATTTCGTATAATAGATGCTTTGCGTAGTACTTTCATAGCAAAAATACTGCCTTTATCCTTTCCAGTGACTTTCCTGACTTGGAAGACCTTTCCATAGCCACCCTCTCCTAAAATCTTACATAATTCAAAATCTTGTGGACCAGCCTTCTCTTGACCAGGATTGACATTTTGCTCAGACAATTGAACCCTCTCCAAGTTGTCAGATCTAAAAAGTAATATTTCTCTTCTTTAATAATGATCAACAAAAAAAACTATTAAAGAGTGAAATGCTTACTCTAATATAGCGCTTACGGTTGCAGCATGATTATATTCCTCCTAAGAGTAAAGAAGAGATCAAATTAAAATATGTTGTTGTCGAGTATAACTACATCTTATCAGACACATGCACACTACTTCTCTATTGTCAATCACATCGTCATCTGACTCGTCCTGATTTGCAGCATCCCCATCGTGCAACTCAATATCGAATACTCCCGCCATCCTAGATAGGTCAAATTCACATTCAGGAAGATTCCAAATTAGTTAAGAAGAGCGCATTCAGTTTTTCAATGTGGAACTCTGCGTCGAAGCTGGACGAAAATCGAGTGACATAAGAGCATGTACTGGACATATAGAAACGTGAGAATCGCCAAGCGCGTTTCGAAAGGACTTACCTCAAACTAATCTGACGTAACAATCGTTTTTACTCAAAATGATTTTTAAAACGATCGCGCAAAGCTGAAAAAGGCTCGCCGCCAGATTTTAACGGTGATACACGAGTCTACATATGTAATCGCAAATACACGCATGAACCGCAGAGATATCTGTATTCATTACCTATATGCGAGGTTAATATCATAGCATAAGGCTGCGTTCGGAAATATCACCCGACTGCCTCCGGAGACACCTGAGTGATATTTCTGAACGCAGCAGACTATAGTATACGTAACGTATACTGTAGCATTTCCCTAGACTTTCGTATAAGTTTATTTTCGAGAATAAAGCCTCTGGGGATCGATTTTGTATCTTGAAACGAGGTGAAAATTACAAAAGTGAGTGAATTTACTAGAATACTGATAATTTTATTGGCCAACATCTAGTAAATTTGCTCACTTTTGTAATTTTCACCTTGATTGAAGATACAGAAACGACCCCAGGAGCTCTATTCTTGAAAAGAAACGTATACGAAAGTCTAGGGAAATACTATAGTATACGTAACGTATACTGTGATTGGTTAATTTTCTACGACTTAATGCTGGATTTACACTGTATCCGATGTGCGTC